GTGACTTAGTAAACGGTCGTATTACTTGATATAATGTATTCTATACAATATATACACTGCGTCCCAAAATTATACGTCCACCTCACGTTTATCGATTACTTTTCACTTCTGTTCCACGAAACTTTTTCATTGTGGTAACACTTCACTTCTTAAGGGAACAGCATAATAAAGACTGCTGTTGGATTTTGAGAAAGGGAAAAATGTCGCAAAAACTGTTGAACAACGCAATCGCACCAGATTTGGTCCAGATTCACGCCAAGCTTGAGAATTTTTTCAGGGGTTTCACATGATATGGAGTTTAGAAGAGCTCTAAAAGTCTCTCATTACTTTTCGATGGAAACAAAGGCCGTGTTACAGAAAAACATCCACTTTCATCCAACGGTGCTCTGTCATCGAATCTTCTTGAGAACTTTATGCCTCAACGGACTTTTGTTTCATGCATGTAAAGGAATCCCAAGATCATTCTTGATCGGAAAATGTGAAAGACGTTCATTTATGGCAAGGAATCGTGACGAAAACTGGGCTGATTTTTGCATGAAGGTGCAGCCGAGCCGACTGGAGCAGGGTCCCTTTTTCCTTGCTATGCATGAGTGTTTGTCTGTCTTTCTTTTCAACATTTTCTTTCTTTTAGTAGTGCTTCACTAAGAAAAAAGCCATTAAGGGAAAGGTAAACGTGAGAAGAAACAAACAAATGCCAAAACATATCGGGCAGAAGCGAACCTTACTTCAGTCGGCTCGGCTGCACCTTCATGCAAAAATCAGCCCAGTTTTCGCCACGATTCCTTGCCACAAATGAACGTCTTTCACATTTTCCGATCAAGAATGATCTTGGGATTCCTTTACATGCATGAAACAAAAGTCTGTTGAGGCATAAAGTTCTCAAGAAGATTCGATGACAGAGCACCGTTGGATGAAAGTGGATGTTTTTCTGTAACACGGCCTTTGTTTCCATCGAAAAGTAATGAGAGACTTTTAGAGCTCTTCTAAACTCCATATCATGTGAAACCCCTGAAAAATTCTCAAGCTTGGCGTGAATCTGGACCAAATCTGGTGCGATTGCGTTGTTCAACAGTTTTTGCGACATTTTTCCCTTTCTCAAAATCCAACAGCAGTCTTTATTATGCTGTTCCCTTAAGAAGTGAAGTGTTACCACAATGAAAAAGTTTCGTGGAACAGAAGTGAAAAGTAATCGATAAACGTGAGGTGGACGTATAATTTTGGGACGTCGGCTGAGTGGCCTTTTACACAAAAATTATTGGAAAAAATTCCTGTGATCTCAAATATTGATGTTCATAGGCAATTGCGTATTTATATGCGATACATTGTCACATTAGGAGACTTTTTTCGAAACATCTGTATTTGTGAGATTTTGGGAAATTCTTAGGTGGACGTATAATTATGGGACGCAGTGTATTAGTATGTACATATGTCCGTCTGTCCGTCCGCAAAATGAAGTGAGTGATAAGGAGCTCATGGAGTAAACAGCCGCTAGCAAATCGGGTAGCTCCTCGAGGTATCAATGTTTTGTAGCAGGATAATTGTGATAACACTCCTACGGCTATATAAACATCTGCTGAGCACATGGTGCTGCAGTGGCAGCTGGAGGGAAGTGAAGAAAAGAAGGATGGGGAGGGGAGATGGAAAAAATCTACCGTCATATTATGATTACCAGTTTTGCTTCGCCCGCTATCGCGCGCATCACACGGCAGGCTTTAGCGAAATTGGGCTGCTTTCATAGTTCGCATCGGTGCGGTCGGTGCCGACGGCGCCGACGGCGCCGACCGCACCGACAGTGTGAAGAGCGTCAATACGCGCTCTGGCGCATGACGCGTACGTTGGGCGCAGATGGCGCGCTCCGATCGATAATCTTGGTTTTGGTGTATTTCTTGTGCTTTTCGATGTTTTTTCGCGCCGTGTTGCTTTTATTCGTGTGTTTTCTGTTCATACTTATTCTTTATGTCTTGATTAATACTTTTCAGTTGTTCCACGACTTCGTTGAACCCCGTCGTACTACCCCGGTGAAGTGGCTATACCGGGTGAGTTCATCATGAGCAATTTTGTTTATTCGAGTGAAGTCTACGTTTTTAGACTGCTTTTTCTTCGATACTACTTCCTGCGTTTGCGAAAGGCCGCGGGATCTAGGTAAGCTAATTTTTACACCTTGCTGATTGTTCAAAATAGCATTGTCTTTTCAGGAGTTTATTTTTCGGTGGCCGCGCGCCCTTGGTGAGTTGATCGAGTGGGAATTGTTCCAGTGGTGCGCAGTTTACTTATTCGAGTGAGTTTTTTGAAATATATCCGGATAAGTTGGTTTTTCAGAAGTTGCTTTTGCCTCTCCTCGTGGTTTGCTTGCGTGATCGAGGCCGCGCGCATTTGGTGAGTTCACTACTTCGCCGTGTTGATTCTGTAAATGAACAGTATCTTTCTAGAGTTCGTTTTTCTGGTGGTCAACTCTGTGTGAAGGAGGCCGCGTGTTTGAGGTGAGTTCATAGAGAGAATTGTTGTCTTGATAGTACACAGTATTGTTTAGTCGATTGATTTTGGTTTTCAGAATCTTTCGTTGCGAAGTTCTTTCAGGAGTGGACGAGGTCCAGCGCTAAGTAAGTTCATTACTTCACGGTGTCTATCGTTTATGAACAGTGTCTTTTTAGAAAGTGATTTTGCGGTGGTAACGTCTGTGTCGAATAGGCCGTGTGCCCAAGGTAAGTTCATTTAGTGAATTTGTCTCTGTGGTACGCAGTTTACTCATTCGAACGAGTTTTTGATTTTCACAAGTTGCTTTCTTTTTCGCCATAAGGTCTGCTGGTGTGTTATAGGGTTTTCCACCCCAATTCGTAAACTTTGCATCCCATTTCGGAAACGTTGCAAGCGATT